CGTGGGGTCAAGAATCCCCACAAAGGCAAAAGAGAATGTAACTGCTGGAAGTCTAAAAAAGGAAAAGCAGACCTATGGTAAACCATAGCTTGAGCTTCCATAGTACGTGGGGTCAAGAATCCCCACAAAGGCAAAAGAGAATGTAACTGCTGGAAGTCTAAAAAAAGAAAAGCAGACCTATGGTAAACCATAGCTTGAGCTTCCATAGTATGTGGGGTCAAGGAATTCTAACCCATATATGTAATTGGTCCACAAACCTATTGACATGAACCCCAATATCTGGTGAGAGACGAGAACAAGATATTGACCCAAAGGTGTCTCACTTAAAAAGGAAGGGGAGGAGTCATAGGAAATGGGGGACAAAGACAAAACATAACATACCAGGTTTACTAACTCCAGAAAAGGAGGAGTCCTAGGTGCTTCCAATGAGCTAAATGTGACTGTGTGGCATTGGAAGGGGGAGGAAACATGTTGCCGAAGTCTTCGTTCTCTTGTTCAGGTATCACTGAACAAGGCATGAGATGATAAGCCTCAGGTGAACCAGGAGCCCAGATGAAGATAGCCAACTATTGGTGAACCAAGACTGCAATATCTTCCACCAACAATTGTGGACCTGAAACCACTGTAGTCAAAGTAAGGTTAATTGTAGTAGGAACAGCAGTGGTAGTAGTTGTAACATGAAACTCAGAATTCATTTCAACTAAGAGTGGAAGTAGAAAAATCAAAACAAAGAGCTCCAGAGAATTACATATTAGAAAAAAAAGACACATAATGTTAATGTATACTAACTAAAATTTCAAAACACAACTGTAGCAAACATAAAGGAAAACAAAGTACCCAGAAAAAAACCAAGGATCTGATTGAAAAAACTGTAAAGTGTAAGCGAAAAACGTGTTTTAATGCCACAAGTATCAATTGAGTAGTGAATTTGGCTAAGCCGATTAGAGGGAGTCAGCTGTCCTACAAGTTGTGTCATACTCCTATTGCTGGAGGGTTGTCGCATGCTCATTTGCATGCTATCACGCAGGTGCCTCAGATGAAAACGCGTGAGGGTAGGTTGGAGTATCAAGGCTAGCAGTGAGTGAAAATTTGTGCATAAAGAGGGCATTACATGTCGAGAAAAGCTATTCTCTATTCTGTGAAAAGAGGTAAGATATTGTATTAGTAACAGCTGTTTAAATATTAGTTCCAGTTTTGTACCATACTGAAGCTCAAACTTCAAGTTTACAATACTAATATCACATCATGAAAATACAGATTACTGATTATTTTTAGGTTTATACCACAGCTCTTGACCAATAAAAACATCTCTCTCAAAAAAAAAAATCCAAAAAACGTTTTAGTTAAGGTAAAAGAAAAAATATATTTTTGTCATACCAGGATAAATCACGTGTTTAGGACTTTGGGAATCACTGTTGTTTTTGAGAACCTCCTTTTTACAACTCCTGTTGACTTCGCCCTCTTCTTGTTGAGTAGTATTTAAACTTTCAAGATTTTTTGGCAATAAATGAGGTTCACTTTCATCTTCATCAGATTCACATTTTTCCAGAAGTTGCTTATCCTTTGAGAATATTTTTTCTGCTGGATTATTATTATCTTGGTAACGCCGTTTCCTTTTCTCTTTTTGCTCCATTTTCTTCTCTAGCCTACAAACAAAAAAATAAAAATTAAATGCAGTAAGGATGAGAAATACAATGTTCTTAACTTTATTTTTAGTTTTGGTCTCAAATTATTTTATAATGTAAATATACCATAATAACATATCTGTAATACACAAGTGGACTATATGCTAGTCATTTAAGCTGAAAACACAACAAATATGCATATAAAACTGCATTTAGGAATAAACATATTTAATTACCTTAATATTACAAATAATTTAATATCCAAGTTTCAATTTGAGTTCTATCAAAGGATTAGAATCTCTCAGGATATTTTTGGATTAACAATTAATAACTACACAAAATGCATCCTTCTTTTAGTAATGGGTTAAAGGATAAAATAAAAATTCAAAATAAATAAACGTGCTATGTATAAACACTATAGAAAGATTTAAATTTTGTGATATTTCTGGATGCATATTCAAATATTTGAATGACAGATGTGGTATTTAATTAAAATATACCTGACACCCCAACAAACACACTATGTAGTGACATGGTAGTGGTTTGGTAATGTCTGAATAATATGTAGCATATACGTAGTAATAGTGTAACATCATAACATTGTGTCACTATGTAATAACATTTCATTTTATATACCTAGTTAGAATGTAACTTTACAACATGTATAGCTAGTGCTATTAAGTAGCAATAACATAATAATATTACATTGCATACAAAAAACAAAGAAGTACATCACCTGGCTGTGTAACTCAGAGGATATTATGTATTCCACACTTAGTATTTCTTTTTGGTGTTTAAATATTAGTTTCATTCAAATAAAAATATTATAAATCATGTAGAATATTATTTTCCATTTAAAAAATATCAAAGAAAAATGAATTCCATGCAAAGAAGTACATCACCTGGCTGTGCAACTCTTGGGATATTATGTATTCCACACTTAGTATTTCTTTTTGGTGTTTAAATATTAGTTTCATGTTCAAATAAAAATAATATAAATTGTGTAAAATATTATTTTCCATTTAAAAATATCAAAGAAAAATTAATTCCAATTTATTTGCCTAAATTTGATATATTTGTTGTAATTTGAATAAGTGCAAAACTTCAGGAATGACACATATAGCTTAATTACACTTTACACCAAGTTTGAATAAGAAGATCTCAACTGTCAAGCATTCTTGAATCAGCAACTTTAAATCTTCAAGATACTTTATCATCCAAAGGTATGTATAATGACAAGATATGCTTCCTAACTTCCATATAGAGTTTGATAAAAAAAAAACAGTCACATCATAGATCAATACCCTATCATTAGTATTGATAGAAATGTATATAAATGTTGTTTATTGTGAAAACAATTATTCAAGTAATAGTAGGCCTATTTGTAGGCTAAGCATTAGGCCTAATACATAAACGTAACACTTATCTGAAACATACTTGGTAAATTTTATTTTGCTTTTAACTACAACTCAGTGTCATAAAACTTGTGAAGTTATCAAAAAATAAAGAGTAAAAAATAAACATTTCTAATAAATCAACATGAATATTGAGCATTCAACATAAACATCACTAGCTTAGTAACTATAACACTTAAAAGGCTTATTCCCTCTGACACTGTCAAAAACACTTTCATGCTCTGTTTTTTTTAGTTAGAGATTTTAAACTTTCTAATATATTTCAGAGATAGAATCTGTGACACAGTTTGCAGCCACACCAATGGGGGATAATGAAGGAAGAAAGAGCAGGTTCATTGCCAGTAAGTAAAATACTTAAGTTATCGTAAATAGACCTTTTAACCAAACAAACCCTTATGGAACCAATCAAAGAAAAATTCTTAAAGGTTTTTAAAAATAAATCAGCATACATCATTATAAAATGATTATTGTTTTACCCTGGTATTTTTAAGGTTTCAATACTTATATATAGTCGCCCAACATTCATATTGCCATGCTCAATAAAATAAACTTCAATATAATGCAATTAAAAGTTGTGGCACCAAGTTATCAGATTTAGTAGCCCAGCTCAATTTTTGGTGGCTCAGGGTGACCAGATCACCAATTAAAGGCTACATTGCATTTATCTGCACACAATATTATGTTAATTGGGCAGCTACTGTTCCTTGTTCTGTATTCTTCCTTTAGATTACCTAATGAGGCTGGATGAAATCATTGCCAACCAAAAAAAAAAGCACACAGGACTTCTCCAATAACTTGCAATAAACATGCAATGAAAACAATAGTATTTAAAAAGGGTCAGTTAGGTAAGAATGAACAAGACTGTTTACAGAATATCAACGACATACAAAGTTTATAATAGATGATGTAATTTAATACTTCATACTTGACTTCATTACCACATTTATAAATCCTATTATTTTCAAAAAATTATTAAGTTTTCCAGTGTTATAGAGGTAAATTCCTAGCTTTGTTAAACTTGACAATGTTATTGTAAATTGAAATAATGAACATAATAGAGGCGTGTAAACAAATTCACCACAAATGCCAGAATGTTGAGGTTGAGCTGCAGATGGCAGAAACTCTTAAGCATGCACCAAGCAAGTGTAGTAGATACCTGTTCCTGGTAAATATATTGACAAATAAAGTGATGGACTCATATTGATCAAAACTGTTAATTAATACACATAATAAAATACAGCAATTAAAATATAAAGAATATAATATTGTCAATTTTGAAATGCATTCACGACAAAAGTAAAATAAAGAATACAATGATATCACTGCTGAGCCATGTACTAACTTTTTCCAAGCTTCATATTGCATAAAATAAAATATTAATTTTTGGCATAAACTTAGGTGCAACTTTATTTGTAAAGCAGGAGTTTATAATGATTCATTTAATAAACATTGTTTTGGCATATAATAATATTATAGTCTTTGGCAAAAAGATGAAAATACAAATCTCAGACCTTTTGATTTGCGATTTTATTAATATCTGTATTGGTCTGTCAAATTGAATTGGTCTTTTATATATACTGGCACAAGCTTCTTTGAATCTCCCAGGACACCCACACCAACTCCCACAGCAATAGTCTGATTCAAATAAATAGAGACTATATTAGAATTATAGAGATGAAAAAATGTATAATCTGTTTTTGTAATGTTGTATCAAAAAATGTATAATTTGTTTGTAATATTGTATCAAAAAATGTATAATTTGTTTTTATAATGTTGTATCAGATATTGAATAAATGATATTACTTCTAACATATTTTTCCAAATGAATATACTGAAAGTATTCTGGGTAGAGCTGAAAGGTATAAACAAGGTACTAAGACGAGGTAGAAACCAATGGAAGATAGTATCAACTTGCTAGAAAGGTAGTGGGAAGGCAGTTAAATGTAGTAAAATGGTAATAGGAATGTACCATGTTGGTATTTTAACGTACCAAATTGGCTGTATATTGGTAATTCCACTATGTAGTAACATCTCTGGTAGTCCACACTTTTACATAAGTGAACTATGTAATCACTACCATATCACTACATTAATAATACATATTTATTACATAAACGTGTTTGCTGGGAGCTGAACTATAAACTTCATCATATTTTCTGATTTGAATTTTATGTAACTTTAAATGAAATATTTTCTTTACATCTATCATATTACACAATGAAACAAAATATATATTCTGTATTGATATATAAAAAATTTGATAAACTAGTTAAATATATTTTTCATTGTAAAATGTTTTTTTTTCTTCTGTGTTTCTCTTCATGATAGATAGTCAAATGAAAAACAAGCATACCTAGTTTTTCTGTGCTTGGGTTGTTCTACCTGATTTTCCTGGATTTTATCAAAAAACTAGAAAAAACAAAATTATTGTTCATAACTAATTAAAACACTCATATCTTCATTGTTAAGAAACTTTACAGTATTTCTGAAAAGTAGAAAATGAGAAAAACATGATGAAAATTTAATATCTGAAAATACAAATCAAAGTTTATCTACTTTCAGAAGTTTCAAGCAAAGCTACACAAAGGAATACTTGCACATAGCAGTCCTTAATTTCAAAGTGATAGACTAGGTTGAAGGAAACTAATTGGCAGTATTGACTGCCAACTCTCGAGCTACTCTTATCTGACTGAATTGTAGGATCCTAGTATCTAACCTATATAAAACCCAGTGTGTGTCACGTCAAACTTGATTTCTTGAAATAAGAGGAGTCAAAAAAGCCAAAATGTATTTATCCAGATAAAATAATTCAAATACGGTCTGCCCGTTACGACTGGCGTGCATGGGGGCTGTGAGGGGTGTGTGCCATGCGACCTTATAAGTGTAGTAAGTGTTAGTATAATAAGCCTAAAGTAAAGATGTAGTGTGGGATTACCTAGCCTAGAGCCAAGTGCATAAAATATATCATGAAAGTAAAAATATCGATTCAATTTTAAACTTATATCATTTCTGAATTAAGCTATTTTCTATTATATCACCAATGTTTTTAATAAGAAACAAACCTCTTTCATCAATGGAGACTCTAAATTAAGAAATCAACAAATATTTTTCCAGTTTTGTTGTCTATACATTGCATTTTATACTTTCAGTACATAGACTAAGAACAATATTAGGTTACACTTTTGTTGCTAAGCAATAAGACATAAAAGCCATTGTTGGAATGTAGTGTTACCAAAATGCACTGGCCTTCTATATATTAGAAGTTGTTAATCTAAATGATTTTTACCTATAAGTATTCTATGAATGCACCACAAATTCATTTCATGAATGATCTTAATTTTGATTAGCCCACAAAGGAATTTACCAATATTTGTATGCCTCGACTGCACTTTTCTGCCTCATTGTTGGTCAAGCTTGATTTCACAAAATTTATTTATTTCAGTTAGCTATGAAATGTGAGGTTAGGGTATAATCTGAGGTGAGGGTGGTAGTAGTTCCCCATCATTTTTGATGGACTATACACTAGTTATTCTTATAATAAACACGCACAGCCTCAAAGTACAAAACGCATTTTTGTGGCAGCAGACTTAGTCTAAGCATGTTAACCACTAGGCCATGCCCAGCAATACAAATTATTGATGAAAACACACATAAATTTGATAGTTGCAGCCTGAAAACAGGAAACTGAAAATTCTAATACTTTTAAAGCACAAATCAAATAAAAAAACTACCATAATTCAGGGAATTTAAAAGCTTCAAGTGACAATAAATATTCAATGAATGAAAGCCACTATGATTTTCTACATCTTTGATGTTGTGGGAAACTTAAAATAAAGATTAATGAAGTATATAATGCTCAAGTTGTAGGTCTCACAGAAATACTTTCAGGACATCAAACAAGGTTGAAACTGTTATATTACAATGAGAAAGTGCTGTGCCTTAGGGAATGGTCATTAGCTAAAAAACTAAGTATCATAAATTTTGTCACTTACTGTGTATTCATTATTATAATATGTTATATTAAATTTTCATAGATGGATGAACCACCAATTTAAAATCTCAACAACATAAAACCTCCTAATATCTTTTCTGTGTTTTTATCTCTGGTTCCAGTCATGTAAACACAGAAAAGTGTTCAATATACTGACAAGTATAATGAATTGATAGAGTACACAACCACATATTTTATATGCAAGTTTAAAAATTGGATCACATACAACTTGGTTTGGGTATAAATGTTTGATTACATTATTTATGCTTATAAATCTTGCACATGAAAGGCAATTGGGGTGGGGCATAAATTAAAATGCACTCACAATAAACTGCTACCATGTGTAATTCACAATGAACGTTTAATATATATATATACATAAATATATCACAAACAGATGCAGCAAAATGACAGAACTTCATCTTGTCAGTTGCAGCTGAGCTTAAAGACCAAAAAAAAATGTAATTAACAACATATATCATAGTTAGATGGAGCAAAATGAGAGAACTTGATCTTGCCAAGAGCAGCTGAGTTTAACCCTTTCATTGCAACTGGGACGTATATTTCCCAGTGCACTAAAAAATATACGTCCCAGCCACAGTGAATGGGTTGAAGGACAGCCAAATTTATGTGACAAAATAAATCATAGTCAGATGTAACAAAATGAGAGAACTTAGTCTTTCCAGCTGCAAACTGAACTTAAAAGACAGTCACATTTAGGTGACAATGTAAATCTTTACTAGATGTATCAAAATAGGAGAACTTGGTCTTGTCAGCTCCAGCTGAACTTAAAGGGTAGCCAAATTTAGGTAACAACATAAATCATAGTTAAGTACAGCAAAATAGAAGAGATTAGTCTTTCCATCTACAGCTGAGTTCAGAGACTCAAAAAAATTCAATTGACAACTGAGAAAACACTTACTTACAAACTACCATCAGCTTAACTGGATTGCAAAGAAAACCCTAAAAACAATCTGTACATGCTTTATAAATATTATAAGACTGTCAAGAAAAAGAGCAATAACTCAAGATCAAATTGGTACCTAAATCACTAACAGGTTATATATTCTATTAATACACCAACATGAGAACTTTTAACAAAATAGCTTGTATGTAGGTTCAACTTTACTTGTTTAACAAAGAGCAGTAATTATTTGTATTCCTTAAGGTACCTCTTTAGAGACTTTGCCATCTTTGTCGACAATTACAATAATAGTAATTGTCCCTTTACAATCTGGAGTCATGCACCTGGAATTCACAAATTCCTGGGAAGAAAACAGAGAACAAAATAAATACAGCTGTAACAACTACAACACAGTTATCTATGGAAGTGTTCCAAAGTTAACAGACAAAGAGTTTTACACATTTTACCCAACAAGAAAAACTATAATTCTTTGTTTAGTATGATAACTACATTTTCTTATTCATGAAGTGTTTCAGCACATGTGCAACAGTGTGGTTTGTTAAGTTGCTATAGACCCGTAGACATAAGCACAACTTTAAATCTCAAAAAAGTTCCTTCTTTTTATTAGTCTTCTACAGATGTATGTACTTTTGTCACCTGCTCTCCTCAACTAACTTTTATGTTATTATTGAACTTTTTTTGAAAATTTTAAATGCTCAAAACTCACAACCATTTTAACTAAAGAGTTAGTAAAAATTTGTATTTGATTACAATTCTCTCCTACAATTGAAATATACAGTTTACAGAAGAGCCAATGCATTTCACTGAAACTTGGAATTTAAAAAAATACTATCTTGGCTTTCAATACACCTTAGAGATGCCAAATGGAAGCTAACTCTCATAACTAGTCTGCTAAATGAAAAGTAGAGGTCAGAATCACACCAGACAGATTAGACTTTCTATACTGGAAGTGGAAAATCAATGAAACCACTCTCATACTTGTGATCAAATCTTCACATGTCAAAACTAGAAGAAAGCCACAAAAAATGTATTAAGAATCAATAACCATAAATTGTATGGTGAAAAATAATAAAAAATTGAAGAATTATTTTTGTCTTCATTCATTAATGCCCTAAAATTAAGTAAACTTGACTTAAACAAATTATAAACATAAATGAACATTTGATGAGACATTTCTTACTGAAGCTTAACTTCCTAGTACAACCATACATGTTACAAGATCTCTTGAAGGTTTACCTCTTTCATGCAGAACATTATCTCTGAAAGAAAATCAGTCATGACATTTAAATTCTACAAACATTCTATGGTTTTATATAATGAAATTTTACAAGAATGATAATAAAAAAGAATCATAAGATATGAGACTATGGTAACAGTTATACAACAAAAGAAGCTCTTTCAAGGCTTTTCAATTGTACATAGAAGAAAAACAACAGATAAAAAAGTCTAGCATCAGTATTCAGTAGCATAACCAAATGATTGGAAATTATGGTACAGAAGACAACTGAAGGTTTCTAACGACACCATAATCACTAAACTTTTTTTATTCACAACAAAACCAACCATGCTCAGTTGAAACGATTGATACAGTGATGTGTAGTTTATGCAGTAAGATAGCAGATTTAGAAAGGTTCATGTTAAAAGAAACCCATGACAGTAAATCTCAGGATACAATTATAATAAATAACGTTAGTAGTAGTTTTTAATAAAAAAATTCACCAAAGAAGTGATGGCTAGCTAAAAACAACTAATGTCATAACTACTGCTTCAAGATCAAGGAAAGAGCAAGCTCAATAAAAGGATGCCCTGAGAAACATCAAGATGAATGATTACTTTCTTTCTGTTGCTCAAGTGAGAAACTCATACCCAACTTGATCTAAATCTACTATTATAGTAGACCCAAAAAAATTGGAATGTAGGGATATTTTCATTTAAGCATAAACAACTTAGAAAAGTTTTAAATTAAGGAAACAAAATAAGATTTAAGCAAAAACCTCAAAGAGGCAGTAAGTTAATTGATGTAAAATGAATACTAGTAAAAACAAACCAATTAAACAGCAAAAATCAATTAGAAATAAACTTTTATTGATTATAAAAAAGACACACAGATATTACACTTTGCATTAAAAAAAACAGTAAAGCCAATTTAGATAGTCTCTGAAGAAATGATAGAAAAATAAAACATCTGACCTAAAAATAATTAATGTTATGCAAATACTTGGTTGGAAAATTTATCAAAAAATAATAACAAGGCAAAAAAAATAACTGAACCCAAATTCCAAAAATTATCATTTTATGATTACATATCATGATGACAATATTCTCCACTTCTTTAAGATCTTTTATGTTAGCAATCTGTAACACTACCGCTCAAAAATCACGTGTCACTAACATCTCAATACCACACACCTTTTCATTTTTCATTTTTATTTGATCCTTCATTTGCTTCCAACAACTAGGGTGATATTCTAAGGAACATTGTTCAGAGCATCTAAGCCTAGTAAAACCACGAAAATCGACATCATGATAAAAAATGGATTTGTTAAAATTACATTCTTCGAAGCGACAGACAGCATCAGGTCGAGGCGGATATCGACATTGCTGAATCAATTCTTCAATTGCTTCCTGAAAAACATTAGAAAACATGACCACTAAAACAATGCTTCTAGCTCAACATGAAAATATTTAAGAGTAAAAAACACAAAAACCAATGTTTTTCACTCTTAATATAATAACAAATGTACCTGAAAAAAGATCATGAAAATATTTTTCTTAAAGATAAATAAATAATTTCTGTATCTTAAGCTAAAGCATTTATAATCTTTACATTTCTATTTTAAAAACTCAACTCATTCACATATAAGTACTAAATTGTGAACTCTTTAACTCACTTTTACCATTTGTGTATTTTACCATATTTTCTGACAAAAAAATAGTCTGTCTTCCAGTACAAGAGTTGGACAAAAAAGTTAGTGGAAATGTATTACTAAAGTATGGGTCCATCTCTGGTTGTTAGAACTGCTTCAATTCTTTGTTGTAGATCATTTGCAAGTTCCTAAAGATATGCTAATGACTTAAGATCCATTCCTCAAGGAGAAATTCCTAACTACCATGAAACGTATTTTCGAGACTGCTTCACAATGGTCTGACTACCCTAAGTAGGTCAAGGAAGATATGTAATGTCATATCCAAGCTCCTTAAATCAGTCATCAACAGTTAAGATGTGAAGTGGTGCAATGTCATCCTGAAATATTCCATCTTCAGCTAGATAGTGTAAATGATGATGGGCTACAACTACCAGGTTATGATATGCTATTTGACAGTCCTTCATAAGAATAATGGCACACATTCCAAGCCAGCAAAATGTAGCCTACAACCTAAAAGTCTCTAGAATCTCATATTGCTGAGATTAAGAATCCAGGATTGTACACCACCTTGGTTTCACACAGGACATAAAAATGTCCATTTGATGAAACAAGGGTAAATGTGAGCTCATCTAGTCAGACACCTTGTCATCACTGATCTTTGGTCCAAAGCTTGTAACCCTTGTACCACTGACTACATTTCCAAGCACTGGCTGGTGAATCAGTGGTTTAGGTATTGCAGAATGCCCATGATTACCTGCTTTACACAGTTTTTGTCCTATGGATTTAACAAACAGCTTGTATTAAGCATATAATATAGTCACTGTTATCTTTCAATATCAGGAAATAATTCAACACAAAGCATAGCATGGTCACATTTATTCACAACAGTTTACTGGTCATAACCTCTATTATTCCTCTTGCAAAGCTAAGAAGTTGTGCAATTTTGGTCACTGAAGCACTTATTAATCTGATTCCTATAAGTTATTCTCTTTAAATAGAGCTCACAAATATTTAACTAATGCAGATCACTCATCTAACAAGTCATCTGAATAACAAAAAAATCAGCTAGGTAAGAGTCTGGTCATTTATACTCTGGGAATAATGGGCATATTTTCAAGCAGATGTTTCTAATTTTGATCAACCCTCCTTGTATATGTAAATATTAAGTTTTATTTTGGTATAACAATGTCTTTACAAAATAATAAGATTTCCTTACATATAGTTCTATAATTTCTTTGCTCAAAAAAACAACAACAATACTTACTTTGAGGTTTCCAGGTTTGGTTAATTCTATTATTTCTAATGTTCCTGGCCACTGATTTACACCATATACAATGCCTTTCTCTAAAATATCCTTTCCAGAGAGTAGAGGCACTAGCGCTTCTTTAAATCTGCCAAATATTTTTCTAATTAAAGTCTTACACATCTGATACCCTCAGTCAAATCTATGTACTTGAGGCCAAGAAAATTATTTTTGTACAAATTACATAAAAGTAATTACATTAATATTCTTTCAGACTTAAACTTGCTGAATATTGACTTTTAGCATAAGAGTAAGAAATAATTCGCCACAAAATAAAAATCATTCCTCAAAAGTGCAGGTAAATCAAAACTAGTTTGAGACATAAACATAGGTCTGAATGATTATGTTCTGTGTTAAAATAAATGATCCCTAATTTAAATGTGACAACTATATAAGTGTAATTCAGCTTTCAAATGAATGATTCAAAAATATATATATCATATTACCTGTCACTCAAAACACATAGCATTTTTGGTCAAAGAAGTACTTTGCATAAAACACTGTTCAATATACTAATGAAATAATCACCAATATAACCTGATTTGGAGTTCATATCCGATTACATTTCAGTAGTACTTATCAACAAATAATGACCTAAGATTATACCTCTCTACCATTTTTTTTTCCATTTTCAAATTGTTGAATATAGTGACATGGAGAGAGAGATTTGTCATAAAAAAGTTAAGGTATTGAACAACATCAGCTTGAGATAGGACTTTAATTAATCAAGCATCATAAACTAGTGTTGCTATATGAGGAGAGAGATTTATATAACTTCCATTCACACAACATAGTAATGGATAACAAAACATAATGTATTCCCTGAATACAACAAATACTGTCTGACTGCTGTGAATTATATCAAAAATTAAACAAGCAGATATATTTAATGAACACGACTAAACTTGAATTGTAGGATATCATACCACTATGTTTTGGATGTACACCTAAAAAGACTATAATTGAGTAAAATAGTTGCACAAAGCATATTTTTTTTATCTTGACTGTTTATAAATAAAAAAGGTATAAGAAATTTGGTTATGTGAAAGTTGAGGCAGTTCTAAATATACATCTTTACAAAAATTCTGGAACAAATGAAAATATTGAATGATCAGACAAATTATCGTGTTGTAGGATATAATAAAACTTTGTGTGTATCTACATATTATGGCTTGTTTGTTTCAGATATTTCATCAAAGTTACATAAGGGCTAGCTAATCTAGTCATCCTTAATTCTGAACTGAAAGACAGTTAGTCAGCAGTAACATTCACTAACAACTCTTGAATTACTCTACTTGACTAGTGTTATTTGGCCATAACTCTTATAATTCACCCACAGCCATGAGGTGCAGAGTGCAATTTGGCAGTAATGAGATGCAAACCATAGACCCTCAGCTCCACAGTCTGGAACACTAACCACTCAGTCCACACACGTGCCAGTGTGTTACGGAAAATACATTTTCATATCATTGCAAATCACAGTATTTACAACATACAAAGCATCTTTCCCCACACAAAACAAGCGCAGTTAGCAACAACTAAATTCATAGAATAAAGTGCCACTTCTCATACTTGGAGCAAAACAAATGTTACCAATCCTCCAAAAGACCAATTTATTACTAGATATATAAGAATTTCCTTTCTGTATTATTATTATTACAAAATAAATTGAACTGTGTGTTAAATTTCTTATCTTTATTTTGATGAATAATGAATTTCAGAAATACTTGTTCTATAAAATTTCATAGAATTCTAGCGTAACGAGTCAAATGCCAGTTGTTTCTTTTTTCTTTCACAGTACCATTAAATTAATGTATTATGTGACACCAAAAAATATTTAATTCTAACATAAAAGTCTGTGGTCAGAGTTAGTAACATCACATGTTCAAGTTGAGTACATTCAATATTTCTGAGTCATAAAAATTACAAAGTAAGAGGAGTACTTCTTATGAAAAACAAAATAAAAGTACATTAGCATTGAATAATATCACTACATGGAATTACTAATACAGTTCCCTCATCCACCACTAATGGTTAGCTACAAAACTTTTAATACAGAATATGAAAAAGAAGAAAAATCAATAATGACAAACAAATATACACAAGGATAAAATCTGAAGATCTAAATCTCACCTATTCTTTTTAAAGTATGCATAACCAAGACCATAATATGCTGTTGGAAAGCGTACATTTTTGTGGTTTTCAATGATATCCTCAAATATAGAGATAGCTTTTTGTATTTCCTGTTCAAAAAATTAAAAATGACAGTTTTTACACATGGCATAGCTCAAAACTCTATTTTAAAAGTTACAAATTCACAATAACTTTTGAAAATACACTAAAAAAAGTAGTTATTTATAAACCACTGAAATAAAACAAAAAATAAAATTAGAAATAATAAAATGTCACTAACTCTTGCTACATAAGTTAAGACTTAATGGCTCCAGACTGGTCCTAGCTTTACTAATTTTTAAATCTAAAGAAAGTTATAATTTCCTATACTGAAAATGTATTTCTGGTGGTACTTACCCTTCTTACATAAATAGCTATTCTCATTCAGTGCTGCCCTCTCTCTCTCTATATATATATATGCAAAACATCTTTTTCTACATGCCACAAGCCTTCTATCTCCCCTCCATTGGAATTGATGGATTCTAATACATCTCTCATGCAAATCATCATGCATCAACCCTCCACCAATAACAGTGCGACATACTCTCTTGACGCATGTGACTCCCTCTATTCAATTCTACCAAACTACCACTATAAATAGCTAGAATCTCACAGTGAACAGGTGGAGGGGCTGGTGCGAGGGAAAGAAAGAAGCATCTGAGGACACTCCCTAAGATGAGATAGTCAGAGTCTAAGATCTGAAGTGGGAGACACACCACTTCTGAACCAGGTATACCCTTCATCCATCACGGAAAAATGTTGCATATATATGGGCAGAAAAACAGAGGAGCACATCCAAGTGGGAGAGATCTATGGCTGGATAGTGATCCGAACCACGCAATATTTATGAAACTCAATCCCAGAAAATATAAAAGTGGGTAAAGTGAAAAGGATGTGCCCCTAAGTGTAAAGTGACCAGGGCATGACAGACCACACACGACGAGTCAACTACATCCAAAACCCATGCTGCCGGGTATCGACATCCATGTGGGGAATAGAAAAGAGGATCATACTGTCAACAAGCCAAGTACAATCCAAAGCCCAGGATACCGTGAATAGACATCTATATGGGGGTAGCAAAGATGATCATACCGGCAGAAAGTCGGCAACAATCCAAAACCCGGCCATCTGGCAGGGGTAGGAAAGAGGATCATACCTCAAGATCATGAGACCATAGGGAATCTAGTACCCCCTGACACATGAATGGAACATATGTGAATAAGATAAATTGATAGATCAATCCGGGAAGGTGACACCCAGTATCAAAAAGATGTCTGCATAATGTAAACTATCTCCTTCAAAAGTGAAATTGACCAGAACTACCCCAAGCACATTAACATCATCAGAATAAGAAACATCAAGGGATAGCGGAATGGAAAGAACTGAAACAATCCACAATTACCTCCACCGTGACCCACAACAGTGATAGAAAATAAATGAGGGAGGAATATAAACATCTGTAACACATGTGTGAGGACTTATGTTGATTGGTTCTACTCTAACTCCAAAACTCGCCCACTGGGAACCAACATCCACATGGGGGTAGGATGAGGGATCCTAACTGAAGGGGTGAGCATTAACATCCTTGGGATAAAAATGTTGAGGGATAGCGGAAGGGAATGAAATGGAACAATCCACAATTACCTCTACTGTAACCCACAACACTGATGGAGTATAAATGAAGGAGGAATATAGACATTTGTAATACATGTGTGAGGACTTATGTTGATTGGTTCTAATCTAACTCCAAACCCTGGCTACTGGGAACCAACATCCACATGGGGGGTAGGATGAGGGATCCTAATTGAAGGGGTGAACTGCAATTTTGACACCTCACTCCCATTTATTTTATGTTTCATATTGAAGGATATCACATCATCTACACCAGCAGAACACCACCACTCTACTATCAACTGAATGGATGCCTTCACAGTCCACCACCCCAGTGGCTTGGAACTGGAAGGTGGTAAGGACTCTCAAACTCCACTAGAAGAAAAGGGGGAATAAAAGTAGCAGTGGAGAGTCTGAAGGAACAACAACACCTGAGAC